GAATAGAATAGAATAGAATAGAATAGAATAGAATAGAATAGAATAGACGACATCTACGAGAAGCTGAACACGCGAGAAGGCGAGAATGAGATCTACCGCCTAGCCAAAAGCAGACACAGGAAGACCCTGGACATTGACCAGTTTCATGGGATCAACGACGAAAGGGGAAATTTGATCATCAACCCCAGAGACGCTGCCGAGAGGTGGCGGCAATACTTCGAAAAGATCTCCACCGAGGAGTTCCCACACCCACGAACCCCGCGAGGTGACCCCGTCGAAGGCCCAGTCTCAGGCATTCACGCCAGCGAGGTCACCGACGCCATCAAGGCCATGAAAAATGGTAAGGCAACAGGACCAGACGACATCCCTGCCGACTTCTGGAAAAAGGCACTACCGGGCTCGGCATTGTGGCTGTGCGAGCTGTTCAACAACATCGTCTCCACGGGAATAGTGCCACACGACTGGTACCGCAGCACCACTGTTCCGATCTGGAAGGGAAAGGGCAGCCCAGCGGACTGCTCCAACTACAGACCGGTCAGGTTACTGTCACACACTATGAAGATCTTCGAACGCGTCCTCGATAAGCGCATTCGGGACATCGTCGACATCAGCGTCAACCAGGCCGGATTCATCAAGAACTGCGGCACCACCGATGCCATCTTCGGTGTGCGGATGCTGATGGAGGCTCACAGAGAGAAGAAAATCCCGCTCCACACCGCCTTCTTGGACTTGGAAAAGGCCTTCGGCCGAGTCCCGCACGATCTCATCTGGTACGCACTGCGAGATCACGGCGTGCCCGAGCTACTCGTACAATGGGTCCAACTCCTATACAGATGTCACAAAAGCCGTGTAAAAGCGGCAGCTGGGATATCAGAGGAGTTCAATATCACCGTCGGCGTACACCAGGGCTCTGCTCTCTCACCACTGCTGTTCATTCTGGTGATGGACACAATTACACACGACCTGCACACGCCCGCCCCATGGACGCTGCTCTACGCCGATGATGTGTTCCTGGCCAACCTGCGCAAGGCTGAACTCGAGCACCTAGTCCAACAGTGGCACGACCGCCTCGAGCAGTTCGGGCTCCGGTTGAACCTAAAGAAGTCCGAATACCTGACCACTGACAACGAAACGACAGGCTCCATCCACGTGAACGGGCAGGAGCTACCGCGTGCCTCCACCTTCAAGTACCTGGGAACTACTCTTGGGGAAGAAGGCCTACTACAAACTGAGGTGGCAGCCAGGATCAACGCAGCGTGGGGCAAATGGAAGTCCGTCACGGGCGTCCTCTGTGACAAGAAGATGCCGATGCGCCTGAAGGCGAAAATCTATAACTCTGTGGTGCGCCCCGTGGCCATATACGGCGCAGAGTGCTGGCCGACGACCAAAGAAGTCGAAAGCAGACGATGGAGATGCGAATGCTCCGATGGTCGGTAGGCCTCACCCTACTCGATCGCGTCAGGAATGAAGAAGTGCGCAGACGGTTCAACGTCGTGCCCATCCCCACGGTCATGAGGCAGTCCCGGCTACGATGGTTCGGCCATGTGAGTCGCGCCAAGGAAGAATCCATCATCAAATCTGCGATGAAGGTGATTGTCGGAGGAGCGAGACCGCGTGGTAGACCTAAGCAACGCTGGATGGACACGATCAAGGCCGATCTAGAGATCGCGAAGGCAGACCCGACATACGTGGCAGACAGAGAGGCGTGGAAGCAGTACTCAAGGACATTAGCGGACCTCGCCAGAGTGCGAGACAAACGCTGAAGAAAAAGAAGAAGAAGAATAGAATAGAATAGAATAGAATAGAATAGAATAGAATAGCAAAGCATAGAATAGAATAGAATAGAATAGAATAGAATAGAATAGAATAGAAT